TATTGTGGTTCAATAAACCACTACAGGAGAGTGTACAATTGGCTACATGTGTAACTTTTCTATATTACCTATTTAAGAAGTCCACTCAAAGGTTTCCTACCAATTGCCATACCTAACACCCCTGCTTGGGTGTTCCACTTTAAACCCTCTGAACCTGTAATCTGTATTAACATCACTGGTTATCTCAGATGCTCAGATCATCATCCTCAACCTTAGGACTAATTTATCCTTGAGATAAACCCCCCAGAGCCTTCTGTAACCATTTTTACAGCTGACCTAGATATTACTATGACAGAACCAACACTTGTGGTCAGGGCTAACCATTAAACTGCTATGTCCTTGTAGAGTTCACTTAGACCCTAGCATCTACTTCACAGCATAATCTCAGTACTTTAGTATATTCCTGCCTTTTGTCTAACCTTTTTACCAAACTTTTAATTCAGATATCTCATGTAGGACTATGACCAGTCCATCAATATATCAGATCAGCCCGATATCCTTTTTCTCTGGTTCATTCCAGTGGCCTGGTTGGTGGTACTTTCAAGACTCCTAACCCAGAGGTTTTTGCCCATCTGGCTACTACGACCAGGTATTATAACCTTGGTATCTGTTTTCCCAGGCTAGCCTTTACAGTAGAGCCATTAAAGATCCAGCTACCTCTCTACTTGAGTCTTCCCAAATGGACTTCTTGTTACCCAATTTCAACGGATTTACACCATCCTATATCTTGGTATCTAGTTTATCTGTCTGTTTTTTTAAAATGTTTTATAAAGTTCTATCAATCTAACAGTACTGTTAAAAGTTCATGCTATCTTTTTATTTAAAAATTTCTAAGTAGACTTCTAACTCTTTAGTTCTTTTATTTTTTATATCTAGTAGTCTTATTATGAGTTTTACTATAACATAAGTTTTTTTTTTTTGTTATTTAAGATATCCTTTTTGGTTTTTTAACTTTATTAATACTTTTGTTAAGCATCACAACAAGTATACAACTGGCTACACATATAACTTTTTTATATTGCCTATTTAAGAAGTTTGTCTAAGGGTTCCTTACTAGTTGTTATACCTAATACTTTTGCTTAGATGCTTTATTTAAACCCTTTGATTTAAAATCCTTGTACCAACTTTACTAAGTCACTTGTATTTAGATTCTTGTCTTAACTTTAGAACAATTTATTCTTGAGTATAAACCTATCAGAATAAGCTATATATTTCCTATCTACTGCTAATCTGAATTTTCTGCTATAGCTAAGACTAATACTTACAGTTAGGATTATTCATTAAACTGCTATTATCTTTATAAAGTTCACTTAAACTCTAGTAGACTTTTAATTTAGATGACCCAGTATGATATACTTATATATCCTTTTCTTTAGATGATTCTGGCAGTCTGGTTGGTTATATGCTTCTTTACATATCTTGTTATCTGGTTTATCTAACAATTCCTACAAAGGTGTTTTATAGGCTTTTATTGATTTAACAGCACTATTGAAAGTTTGGGCTACATCTTTACTTGAGATTTCCAAATAAGTTTTTATCTTAGTTTCTTAGCCTTTTACATTCAATAGTCTTATCATAAATTTGTATTAAAGCCTTATATGATATTAGTTTTCACATTCCTTTATATATATATAATATTACACTTTGTATAGATGCTCTGAGCTCCTAATGTTAGATGAAACCTGACTTGATGTATCTAAGATTACAAATGTCCAAAACCTAACTAATTATCAAGAGACAGTTATCATAACACAAGTATAATTTTCAAAATTCATCATTTGTAGGAATTGAACCTTAAACCTGCTACTTGAAGGTTAACAACCTATTCATTTCACTAGGTTACTATATTTCTTATGTAACATTAGTTATTAATATTAGCATTAGATTAGTAGGCTTTTTAGGTACACAGTTGTGTTTTTTTTTGATAACACTATTCTTTTTTGTTTTTTTTTCAAGTTTTTAATGTATTCTTGATAACTTATATAACTTATATATAACATATAAAAAACTTACATGAATGGTGTATTTTTATATATACTACATGCTTGGTGTACTTTTTTGATATCTATTTTGATAGCTATTTAGCTTTCTATTACTAAGGAGTACACCCTCCTAAGGGTGTATAATGCAGTTGCAGAGTGAAGCAGAACATAGTTATCATATTTGATTTCTATTTAGTTTTTTGTACTGGAGGAGCATAGTGACTCTGAATGCGAAGTGTAGTATAGCATTAGTTATCTATTTAATTTACAATTAGTTTCTTAACACTAAGGAGTATACACCTTAGGTGTAAGTGATGCAGTTGCAGAGCGAAGCAGAGCATAGTAATCTTTTATTTAAACAAAAGATCTAGTATATTAATAAAAAATACTGAAAAAACATATTATTATAGCTAAGATACTTAAATGTACAGGTTGTGATCGAGTAATAAAAACTGATAAAACTCAAGATCTTAATAAACATATGAATTTAAATAGAAACCTTCGTAAAGAACAATGCCCACCAGCTTTGCTTATAATGCAAAATGTAGGAAACGTTATTCCAGAGCAAAATACACCTCAAACTGAAAACATTACTCCAGAGCAAATTCTCAAGCAACTCCTAAAGGTGATCTCATATTGTTCAATGAAAACCTACTAACACTTTAGCCGAGAGAGGCAAGTGCACAGGCAGTCGACCCCTGGATAAAAGAATCAGAAATGAGTCAAAGACTCAAAACTTAACATTCTCGATACTCTGCATCATCTAGTTTAAAGCAAAATAGCATGAGTTACCAAGATAAAACCATCTTAATTCATAAAAATATAGCAAATGGATTTGAGTTTTATG